GATGTTTGCCATAGATGTTTTTTGGGAAGTGATCAGCTGAGAACTCATACTGGAGAGACACCATATAGCTGTGACATTTGTGGTAAATCTGGGATCACGTGGCTAAGTGGGTAAGACTCTGGCTCGCTAGCCTGGAGGTCGGGTGTTCGATCCCTGCATTGGCCGAGAAAGTTCATCCAGATTTTCCGGCGTTGTCCCCCCTTGTCAGTGATGCAGGACGGAGGGCCTGACAAGGACAGCTGTCTAGTCCTTCGGATGAGATGAAAAACCGAGGTCCCATGTATACATTGGAATGCACGTAAAAGATCCCTTGGCAGTTGGAATTCGATATAAGAGTAGGCGATAGTGCCGCTGCCCGGGCAAAATTTCCCTCATAGCACATTGTGTGGCGTATGCCCGTCTTCATTAGCCCAGGTTAGGAGCAGAACAGTAGGACATTAAACCCCATTTCATTTCATTTCATTTTGTGGTAAATCATTTGCTACATATGGTCATGTACATTCTCATATCAAACTGCATATAAAGAGACGTAAGGCCAAAAGTCGATCATAATGGGTTTTGCATTTTTCTATCCCCACATGTTAATATCGTCATGTAACCCATATCCGTAGCTCTGTTATTCACAGAATGGTTTTACAATAATACATATATCTTTTTAAAATTTACCTGTAATCATGTCACATCTGTATTTTAATGGAAAATTATACATGTTAGTAAGATACGCTGTATACCAAGAATATAATGTTTTTTTATAGTTCGTTTTATTATGTCTAGTTGCTGAGTATGCAACAAAGGAGAAACAGGTTTTTCCCCCGAAAAAAACAAACCTAATAGTAAGTGCAGGGGGACTGCACCACACAAAATTTACACAAAAACATACTCAGAAAAACACAAACAGACAAACAATTCAAAAAAAGTGAATGGATCCGGGGGTTAATGTCATTAATTTTGTTTCATATTTTCTTTTATCTTTTCTTGGTCTTTGTTCTAACCATGTTACCGTCACATACCAGATCATGCAGGAAAATTGTTTAACACAATATAGACATAACAAACATAGACAATACAGATTTTTTTTAAGAAGTGGGTGTACAAAATGTTAACACCCTTAATCTCATAAACAGGAAAAAAAACATTGAACCATAATATTATTCATTTGTTCAACAGATTGTTCAAATATATAATGCAGCCCAGTTACATTTGAACAAGAATGACCCAGGCAGAATGCTTTCAGATCAGTTTGAAACAGTGGAGCGGTTTAGGAAAGAAGTCAGAAATTTGCCCCTTGCTGATTATTTCCAGGAAATTGTCAGATCTGGAAGTGTCTTATCCTTGGTCATCAGATAACCATATGAGTTTATAAACTAAAATATGTATTATTGTCAACACACGTTTTATTTAACCTGCTTCTAAGCAAGCTGCAAACATTTCTTTTGATGTGATGTTTGTGGTAAAAAAATTTCTGGTACAATCTACAAAGTCATTGGAGAAACTGCCTTTATTTTTTTATATTTCGTGTGTATCATGTAATGGGGAGATCAAATCTCAATTACATGTACACATGATAAAACACACCGGAGACAAACCTATTACATGTAATGTTTGCGCCATGTCGTTTAATTGGAAAAGTAATCAATTGAAACACATGACAACACATATATAGCAGAGAACATCATTTTATGTGTAATGGTTGCTGCAAATGATTATTCAAACATACATGGAAGTATCAAGGCGTGCAGTTCAGTATTCTTATTTTTGATAATGTAAACCGGTAAGTATTGGTATTTCACTGGGCTGTAAGATAATCACTCGTTGGACGCCCCTCTCTCGGAATACATGAAATCGTCTCACTTTTCTGCACCAGTCCGACTAATAAAGACAATGTGTCTCCGCCTACTCTTCATCGAATTGCAGCTATATGGGTTCGTTTTTTATTTGATGGACCTAGTCCCATCCATTTTGAAGGGATAGTAATGAGATTGGAATATCACGAAGAACTTTATCGGCCGACATCGGAATCAAACCCGGACCACCAGCGCCATACGCAGCCCCCGTTCCTGACTCCATGCCAGAATAACGCTTAAATATATAGTTTAAGACCAGACATATATTCCAATCTACTTTTGACCCGAAAGCATAGCCCTTACATAGGAGGAGGGTCCCGGGGGGGGGGGCGGCAAATTATCTTAGTGCATACCAGAAATATTCAAACGGGGCCCTTTGAATATCAGAAATATTCAAAACGGACCCTTTGAATACCAGAAATAATCAAAGGGGGTCCATTTGAATATTTGTGGACTGGCCTCCATGGAGGCTGAGATAGAAAGTCACCGAACTTCGCTTCCCCTAAACCTATATAAACCAGTCCATATACTATTCAAAAAAAGTAGGGGATATTTGATTTTGGGGGCATAATACTAAAATATGCAAATGACTACGAAAAAAGTCACTATAGAACCTAACAGAAGCAACATTTCCAGTTACATGTGACGCCCAAACGCACCAATAGCTACTGCATGGAATGCAGGTGATGCTTGGGATCATCATGGGGGTCCAACCCAAGATTTGCACGACTCTGACTTTGAATGTTACAGTCATTGTTGCATTGAATTCCAGGGTGGAAACATCAGTTTAATTGTTTTAGTGACCAGAAAACAAATTTTGATATGCGTCGGCTTACCCAAAATGAAAGGTTACGTGCCCTTGGCATGCTACAGATCGGCACAACACAGGCGGTTGTGGCGCGAACGATGAATGTTTCTCAGTCTGTCATAAGCAGGCTATGGTCCAGATACCGTGATACACAATCTGTACAGGACAGACCACGCTCAGGTCGACCAAGGGCGACAACTCAAGCCCAGGATCGATTTATCCGTACCTTGGCCTTGAGAAATCGTGTCATCACAGCAAATCAGATCAGCGCTCGTCTTCAAACAGACACTGGTGTGAGAGTGAGTGGCCAGACGATCCGGAATCGACTGCATAGGGGTCACCTTCGCGCCCGACGTCCTCGCGTGATCCCTTGTTTGAAAGATCATCACATTCAGGCAAGACGTCGTTGGTGTAGGGATCGTCAACACTGGGATAATCGACGCTGGAGCAATGTGATGTTTTCAGATGAGTCAAGGTTCACTGTTGATTTTTTGGACAGACGTAGGAGGGTGTGGCGTCGTCGAAACGAGCGCTTCCAAGACGTTAACGTCATCAGACATGATCGATTTGGGGGTGGTTCTGTTATGGTGTGGGGAGGCATCACTGTTGCTGGAAGAACGGCTTTACATGTTGTTGCAGGGCGTGTTACAGGCCAGTACTACCGGGACAACATCTTGGCAGTCCATGTTGTGCCGTTCGCACGACGTCATGGCCGCCGTTTCATCTTCCAGGATGACAACGCAAGATGTCACAGGGCCAGGATCGTTACAGGTTACCTCCAACAACAGAACATCACCACATTACCTTGGCCAGCACTGAGTCCCGACCTCTCCCCCATCGAGCATGTCTGGGACATGCTTGGACAGAGGTTACGTCAACGTCAACAACGTCCTGCCAATGTCCAAGAACTTGCTGCTGCGTTGCAACAGGAATGGGACAATCTGGACCAAAATGACCTTAGACGTCTCATTAGGAGTATGCCACGTCGGATCAATGCTTGTTTGGCAAACAGAGGAGGATTTACCCTTTACTGACTTGGTTGTGATGCTGTGGTAACTTTGCTGTTTGACCCCGGGTATCATTTTACCCTTATAATGGTCAGTCTGTGCCTTACTTAGTCTAACGATCATTTGGAATAAATCGATGAATGTGAACTTCATTTCATTTTGTCATTTGTTTCTTCGTCAGTTTCATTAGGTGACTTTAATAACACTTAAAAATCAAATATCCCCTACTTTTTTTGAATAGTATATTTCAGCAAATAGAGAGGGTAAAATTATAATTTTTCTAAGATATACTATAGGGTTTTCCGATGAAATGGAGGGTTGAAGGGGAAATAGACATACAAATTTTGATTTAAGAAACAGTTATTTAGATAGAGTGTTAAAAGTATAAAAATTGTATTTTAAAATTTCTTTATTCATAGAAAAAGTCAACTGAGCGCAGGAACTTTCGAACATAGTAGTTACAGTATGCAGGGATGGGGTGTTTGTTTTTTTTTGGGGGGGGGGGGGGGCGTTACTGAAACTTTTGCCCTGGGGCGCTACAAAGGCTTGTGAGTGCCCTGTCCGAAAGGGACCCGATCAATAAGTTATAACTTATGTTTACGGGGGTATTGTAAAGTTCACGTTGGTTTCGAGTGTCGCCTTCCAACCTCGTTGGTTTTCTCCGGGTCCTCCGGTTTCCTCCCACTGCTAAAGACCCCTACGCGCAAGCGAATTACTGAAATAAAATTAAACTATATGTTTGTTCCGAAATGACCTAGTTTGTGTCGAGTTGACGTTAAACCCCATCTCTCTCTCTCTCTCTCTCTCTCTCTCTCTCTCTCTCTCTCTCTCTCTCTCTCTCTCTCTCTCTTTTCAAATTAGTCTTTTGTCGACCGATGATAATTTCATTTATTCACACGTGACAAATAATACATAAATAAACGCATTGTGAGTGACTTGATCTGGATGCTTCCTTGTCAGTAGTAAGTTCTGGGGGAATGCACTACACACTAAAAATAAAACAAGACAAATCTACGGAAAAGACGCAATATACAGAAATCCCAATTAGCAAACGCGCATATCAATCATTTCAAGTGAATGAATCCGAGGCCTAGAATGTTACAGATACATGTCACACCACTGATGCTATCTTTAAGTGGCACATTCGATGTGCATGTTTATCTGTGGTTAAGTCAGCATTAGTTAAATATCGTTCAAAACGGATATCTTCAACCACGAAGTAAATATTAATTCATTCATTCTTTCAGGAATTACTGTCCCTTTTATGAGTCACTCGGGATGTAAAATCCCAGTCTAATAAACAGATACAACTACACGTAGAATTTAAAAAATGGACGCCAGTGACCCCAGCGGCCAGACAAGAACAAAGGAACATTTTTTGAATTAATAAGACGCACCGTGATATTAAATTAAAACTTGGATCGGCCTGCTTTAAAAAAATGTCTTGGATATAATAAAATATACTTCAGTAGAAAAAAATAATCCACGAAAGGTTAACAACATCTAAAGTCAGAGTACGGTACTGGTGTGGCGCGGCGCTTGCCTAATTATTTATGTTATATGGTACGACTGTATCACAAATAAAACACAAATATGGTAATTATAACTGATAATTAACATGGATTCAGTGAATTTTCTCAGTATCCACTTTGTCGGCGATATCACTTCTCACTTATCAACGAAAAATGATCTCAGTCTCAATTCACAGAAAAGCCCCACCCACCCTAAAACCTGTGGAGTGTATTTATCCAAGCCCCGCTTGGCATGGAAGGCGTCCGCATAAACTAACAATGTTACCTATTTTGAGTCTAAACATAATCTGAGCCGTAGCCACGGCAAAACAGCAATAGGCTATATAGGTTAAATCCCGCTGATAGGTGACGGACACCTGTATTATACAGGGCAAAATCACAACACCTGTATTACAATGTACCATTACAATTTACATGTACATTATAATTAATTTCTTTTTTCTCAGGAAACTAATAATCCAGAAGTTCAAACTTTACATCAGTGTGTAGTTTGTGATGAAATGTTTCAACAATACAGTGATCTTGAAGACCACAACAAAATACATGTTAAAGATGAGAAAACTGATGCAACCGACTTGGATGAATATGGTCATATACCTGTACAGTTTGATGGGGAGAAAACTGTGAATGATAACAAAACATTACATCATTGCAAATTGTGTGATGAAACATTTAAATTATACTCTGATTTAGAGATACATTGTGAAAATCATGCGATAGAAGAGGAGTCTATTTCAAGTGAGTCTATTTCAAATAAAACTCAACAAAGTCAGCCACTTGATGAGAATCAGTTAGAAAACAATTCAAAGATAAATGTACATATAAAAGAAGAAAAAACTGAAGATATTAAAACGTATCATTGTAAATTGTGCAATGATCGCTTTGAATTCTACGCCGACTTAGAGAAACATTGCAAGATACATATAAAAGACGAGGACAATGGGGACCCCATAGCAAGTACATCATCTCAATGTAAAGTTAGTAATGAGAGTCTTGACCAAGAAATACCTCCTATAGCAAATTCAAATGATTCAAATAATAAATCTAGTCGACCTACTAGGAGTAGAGGAACTGCTAAAATTAAATCTGTTCCTACATGTGAACTTTGCGGCAGAACATTTACCCAGCAAAGTAGTCTTAAAACTCACATGTCAATACATACTGGAGAAAAACCCTTTCAATGTGGTGTTTGTGGGAAATCATTTAATCAGAATAAGCGTTTAGAAGGTCACATGAGAACTCATACCGGTGAGAAACCCTATAAATGTGAAGTATGTGGAAACACATTTGCATTAAACAGTAGTCTGCGTCACCACAAACGAACTCATACTGGAGAGAAGCCATTTAGATGTGATGTTTGTAGTCGACCATTTAGTCGAAATTGTCTTTTGAAACAGCATATGAGGATTCATACGGGAGAAAAACCGTATAATTGTCTTATTTGTGGTAAATGGTTTCGACACAGTCATTATTTACAGACACATATAAAACTTCATTCGAAACAGAAATCTCCCCGAGGTCGTGCTGCCAAGAAAGCAGAAGAAACAAAAGCTAAAGAAGAATCCAGCAGCAGTTCTTATGCTATACAAAACTGGTCTTATATCTAGATGTCATCATTTGATTTCAATAATTTTGATTCACTTCACTTACTGTTACTTAAAAAGTCAAAATCAAAATATATTCCTTTGATGTCGTACTTACATAGCCAGCCAGTGATTGAAGACTATATCCATACTAGTGTGAAAACTGTATTTGTTGCTGAAACTATTGTGATGAGGAAATTCTTGCTATATCAAAAAGTATTTTTACATGTAAAGCAGCTTTTTATTTTTGTTACTTACATGTACATATAGCATCCGCTGAATGGGATTATAATATTACAAGAACACTATGCTGTACATGTAGAGTTAATCTCTTCATCTGCCAAAGGTGCAGCCTGGTTTCCCAATGTTAGTGGTTCAAGTTAGAACGAAATACCACGGTCTTGTGTACACATTGGTGTGTACGTTAAAGAACCCTTGTCAGTTTAGTACTCAATGAACAGTAAGTGGAAAAGTAGCTGTCCAGCCATTTGCCAAAATAGAGGTGAACAATATAGTTTACTTTTTATTTTACATGTACATGTATCTATTTGAAAATTTATAAATTATTTTGGGCATTGATGTTATTTTTGCAGTTAAAAGTACAAGTACTGTAATATTCATTTATATGTATAATTCTTGTAGTGCATCATTTGCATCTTGAAGCTGAATGAGCTAAGATCAATGATTAATTGTAACATAATAAAATTATTTCATGAATTTTCATTTCTTAAAGATGCATTATGAAGAGCTGGTTGTTCTTCCTATAAATGTTCAAAAATAGATAATAAAAAATGGAGATATTGAAAATTACTTTATTCCGAGCAAATATAGAAGTATTTGCAGTTTGGAAAGGGGAGATGAAGCGTAGATTGTTTATTGTAAACCAAACGGTATTAGATAATCTAGACTAATTTCAAAATCTTGCAGGTTTTTCAATCTCTGCCATCATATGGTCTAGAAAGTTATTATGCCTATGCTTGTCATGTGAATAAATATCTAAATTATAGTTTATATAACATTTGAAGCCAAAATAAAGTTTTACAAAAGGCATTCATGTATTTATATGTAGCTCTTAGTTACATACACATTATGCATCTTTAAAGGATTTTTAAGTTACCATAATGGGGGAAACAAGCCATATTTCAAAATGTAAAAAAAAATATTATTTTACCATAATACTGTACTTGTACTAGAATATGCCTACTTCGTATGGATATAATACATGTATTGGAGGTGGGGAAAGTACCTTTGATAAGGTATTTGAAGGACTTTTATTTCCTGGTATGTAGTACATGTTACTATGTACCTTTTACCGATGTGTATATGTATATACATGTATTGCAGTTCAAATACATGTCTAACTGTAATATGTTGTTTTGTGATATCAGGCTTGTCATTGATATTCATTATTATATTGTTTGTTTTGTTGAGTAGCCAATAAATTTAAGATTATGCTAACATAAATGCCTGCATGGTAACTTGGTTCATATTTATGTTGATAAACTAGGGTAGCCAAAAGGACTGTAAACCTGAAATCATTTAACATTATACCCCTGCTATTTATATTGCCATCACCCTTGTTTGCTGGTCACAATTTCTGGTGAACACTCTACAGACTGCATATATATCATTCATTGTTTTTTAAATTTAACTATGTTGTTTCATAGTGAGGTGAAGATTCTGGAGAAATTTGTTTATACAATTCCAAACCGCAAAGTCGCTGATCGACATGGGTACTTTTTGTACAATATCTAATTTTTCAGGCCAATCTGTTTCACACAGAATTATGAGTCTTCTAATATCTCTGTAAAAGATGACTGCCTTTAACACGTGCCGTCACAGCACACAGTGTCAATCGTTGGCTGAATGTTGTGTGCATTGTTTACATAATATGTTACTGCTTCAGGCAGAATGCTGCCTTTTAGTCATTTTAATACCCATTTACACTAAATAGGAAATAATTTTTACCTACAAATACGTCAAACTTCTTTATTTATTTTTCTAATACATCACCGGAGAAGAATCCGGTACCCCCTTCGTACGGGAGAAGAGACCCCCTCCATCCACTAAAATGTTAACTGCCCCTCCGCAGCCAGAATGGCTGGCTACGGGCCTGCCCAAAACTGCCTCTATTCCAACTCAGATCACAATAATTATCATCACATTTCGTTATTTAAACGATGCTGGTTCAAAACAATGCCATTTTTGGGTTTAAAAAACGTATGCTTAGATCAAGCAAAGCTTGAATTTCTGAGGTAGGGAATGGACATAACTCCTGTATAATTCTGCCCAAGCTATTTTTGTCTTTCTCTCCCTTTCCCTTTTTGATCGTTTGCATGGCTGTCTTTGTTGACCTTTTGGTGTAGAATTGAAAAAAGGGTTTGAATATACATTTCCTGCCAGGTTTGGTGAATATTCATGATTTTGAGGCGGAAGGGTACAAGAGGTCGGTCATTTTGAATATTGCAGGATTATTTGTCTCTACTTCCAGTTTGTGTATCTCAAGTTTTCCATGATGAACCCCATACTTGCTTTTGGCCAAGAGGTTGTCACATGTTGCCCCATCTGTGGTAGAAAGCGTTCTACCTAACGAAAATTTGGGGAAAAGTTAGGGCCGATCTAAGAGACGAGAATTAACATTTGAGTCAATCGGGAAATAATTGGTGATCTGTGGCCATATGGTTCAGATCACGGTAAAGACAAAAACGACCCGAAAGCATAAGGAATATAGCAACAGACAATATATAATATAATTGGATTTTATGATAAAAGGCACAACACATCTGTATATATCAAAAATATTGTTTCTTCTCTGGTTGATGTTGTGTCCACCTTACAACCCCCGCTGCTCAAAGTCATGAATATATTAAACGATACAATAGCAGCGTATTTAATCTTGTCTGTAAATATAAAGAATATAAGAAATGTTTAAGTTTAACAAAGAGCTTTATTCAAATTCCACAAATGATGTATCTGATGACGAACTCTGCTTAATTATTTAACAAAAAAAAAATAAAATAGAAAAAAATAGGATATTACAAAGATATTTATTTTAGTATTAACTGATTTATTTCTAGTTTGATTAATCATTAAAATCTTTGAACGAGATAAATTCAACTTTATATTTCTAATATAGAATGTTATAAATAAAAGTTTCTAAGAGGACCGTTTGTCTAATACTCAAGGCCAGTAAATATTAATGGTTTGAATAAACATGACTGATTGTAAGTTAAAATCGTTATGTCGAATCAATATTTGAAGAACTGACACTTAAAATGTAAAAAAAATGTAATTCTTATAAATACGAAACCTGCTTTTTATACGCTCACATTGAAATGTGGTCGCAAATTGTCGTCGCGTCCATCCGTCGGGCCGGCGTTCACAATTGCTTTTGGACGCTCTAGAGACTAAAATTATTATCCGATTGACTTTGAATTTATACACAATGTTTAAGGCCATGAGACGAAGAAGCTTATCGATGATTATGGCAATTGATGTTAAGCGTTTTGTATGCTAAATGTTAGTATAATATGGCAGAACTAGAAGCCAAATGGGTTGTTACTCGTAATCAGATTTTAGTGTGTTGTAAATGTTTTCATTTCTGATAAAAGAAAAAAAAAGTGCAACAGCCCTTGTATAAGTATGTAATCTCTTCTTGCAAAACATTATAAAGGTATGGTCCTTGCGGATACGCTGCTTTTAGTTTGGAGAACTTATCAAGACCATAATCATATCTCGATGCCATCGTTAGCCTGCAATATTTAATGGATTTTGAATACGTTTTGTGATTGATGAATCGGTAATATATCGGTTCAGAGTGAAGCAATTTGACTGAAAGTTTCAGCATTATTTTCTATTCATTATCTATTTTTAACTATTATAATACGCCATTGGTCAAATGTACTGGATTTCGCTCCTTGTATTCACAGAGAAATTTCCCCTTGTCACTGGTGCAGGACAGAAGGCCTGGGACGGAACACTGTTAGGCGTTCGGATGTTACGAAAATCCGACATCTCGTGTACACAATGGCGTGCATGAATAAGAGCCTTGAGAGTTGGAATTCGAAACAAGAGTAGGCCGCTTCCTGCGGAAAATTTCATACATTTTATGTTTTCGATACGTAATCTATATAAAAATTCGACTGGTAATTATTTGAAATGCATAGGGGTAGATAGGAATGAATGTAAAATTGATCTCATATTATTTGACTGCGACTATCCGGAAATTATGTGCTTCTAGACTCTAATGATTTTTAGATACACCCAACAACAAATTATTAAATTGATGATTAAGAACATTACATATTTTGTCTATCCTTACAACAAAAGCTATTAGAAATATCTTACTTTCATAAAAGAATTATGTCTAAAAACAAATATGGACGAAGAGGAGGAGAGGGGTGGGGTATCTTTATATGACAAACTGTATAAATTTTACAAAGAGAATGAAATGATGTTTATATCTCAAGTCACAACTAATCGGACTATATTGTGCCAATAACATGGTGATCAATAAGGGGTAAACTAAATATTATCACAGTCATGTATTTATGTACATAACTAAAATCAAATACCACAAACTAATAATTAACATTAAAAGACTGTACATGTTTAGCGTAGTCGATTTCATAATTGAACTGAAAATACACATTATGCAGTGAAATACAATTATCTGCTTGATACACACTAGATAATCATAGTCCTTCTATATAAATGACTGAACTGACGAGTGATAACAGATACACAGGCGAATTTCTGCTCACTAACAATTCCATCGAAGACCAAAAGTTCTTATGTGAGACTGTGAGAGGATATCTGATAATTCAAAAAAGTAATTGGATGTCACTAGATAAGAGAACACGAAATAAAAATAGAAATAGTCCGTACATTCACTTGTTTTTATACATTGTATAAACATGGCAATGCACGGAATTTTTTCATTATTTTTTTTTCTTTTTTTTTTCTAATGACGGTCAATTTTTGTTTTGAACTGTCAGATATCCTCTCACAGTTTCAGTTTTTATAGTTCAAAATTTCGTTTTACTTGTCTTCACATCACAAGGATCTGGAAGAGTTGTTATATAACAGGTGTTCTGCTTGATGTGAGGAATTAGTCAATGAACAGTCTGTTACGGTAAGTTCTTTGCGTGCTGTGCACGGAACGTTGGGTAAACCACTAGAAACGTCAACGCTGATTGATTAATCAATGTCTGACGTCATAGGGTAAAAAACCGCTCGTATGACGCCTGACGCGACCTCCCACTACAACTGGTCAAATGTTCATGTAGTAGAGGCCATCGAAGGTATAAAAAACGAAACAAAATACTTAGTATAACAGAGATCAGTTAAGTAAAAACAGCATTTATTTACAAAGGGAACAGAATATCACACATCTAAATAATAGCAACAGCAATACAGGTACGTAAACTATATAAGAACTAGTCTACGACAGGAAAACATATAACTATGTTAAATCCACCATTCTGCCCCTCTGCCAAGGCAGCGGCTGAACTCCGGCGAGTCAATACGCCGGTCTCTCTGTCTCTTTTGCAGTTGTTGGTGATTGCCGGGTCCTTCTTCATGTCCATATGAAACACTATTTTCTATTGAAACTGCGTCTGCCACCCACGGTTGCACAGATAAACGTTTCAGTCCTGCATTTTGTTTTGTATTTTCTCCAGCTCATCGGATGTTTAATGGTGAAAACTCCTTTGTCTGCCACGCGGGACTTTCTTCGTTATCACAGGAACACAGGTACTAATTTCATATGGAAACCGCCGGTCGATGCATCATAACAGATACTGTGGGTACTGATTTCCTACGAAAATCGCCGGTCGATGCACCAAAATCAGATACTGTGGGTATTGATTTCCTACGGAAATCGCCGGTTGATGCACCAAAAACAGATACTGTAACACTATTTTAGTGATAACAGAGATCAGTTTAGTAAATACAGCATTATTTACAACGGGAACAGAATATCACACATCTACATAATTACAACAGCAATACAGGTACTTAAACTATATAAGAACTAGTCTACGACAGGAAAACATATAACTATGTTAAATCCACCATTCTGCCCCTCTGCCACGACAGTGGCTGAACTCGAGTGAGTCCATACGGCGGCCTCTCAGTCTCTCTGTGCCCATCATATATGAAAAAAGTAATCATATATCAGACTATGGTATCTGTAACTGCACTGCGTATTTCCTTTGAATTCGTGAAGGTATGCCGAGTGTTATACACATAGCATGTGTAGCATGTAAAGGACATATTGAATTAATTAGTCCGTGCCTTAACAGAAGTTTACACAGAGGTGAAACGTCAATATCATATATTATCAAAACTAGCAGAGGTCATGAAGTTCTATGCACCTAAATGATCGTTCAATTTGAAGAAAGGTATAGATCACTTTGTCACAAATATAGATCTGTTTATTAATCAGACTGTGATAGTCATATTACGTAATTTACGGAGAACGGATCGGGATCTCGCAGATAAATTTTCTTAATCCCAAGCAATTAATATCTAAAGCTCCTACAGGATTACCATAAATTATCGCAACACAGTCTTCCGTATTGCTGCTAGGTTCTCCGGGATACCACTCCCCTACAAAATCAGATCCATCCAAATATTTCCAAGTTATATTTACATCTCTATGTCTGGTACAACCAATATTTGCCTCCATACGAAACGAAGCTATATGAAAAAAAAATAATAATTAATAATTCAATAGGTTATTGGAGAATAATCTGTCACTAATTTACTTTTATTACATATCAATATCTTTGGATCCTTGGTATACTGCCAGTCTTTTGGTTATTCAAGGTAATATTTGCTGGTTTTCGTGAATAATTAATAACTAAAAAACTTTCTTGAAATGTAAATTGGTAAAAAAATTGGCGTATTTAGAGTTATTTTTGTAATCTTACAGACACGCACAACAGCCGATTTAATGAAGGGTGCTGGGGAATGGGGCGGAGTGTTTTGGCGAGCCTCATTCCCCTTTTAAAATGCAATTTGCACTCGGTCAGTCAGAAAAAATAATATATTCCATGGGATGTTATGGGATACAGCGAGAACGTAACTCTTTCCAAATATATAATATTATTAACACAACCACTCCCCAGCGACAAAAACTCTCAATGCACGACCCAGCGACAATAACTCCCAAAACACGACCCAGCAACAATAACTCTCAAAACACGATCCAGCGACAATAACTCTCAAAACATGACCCAGCAACAATAACTCTCAAAACACGATCCAGCGACAATAACTCTCAAAACATGACCCAGCAACAATAACTCTCAAAACAGGACCTAGCGACAATAACTCTCAAAACACGACACTGGCAACTTAGGCGACATGTATAGTGAGCATGTTTTTTGTTACAGTGACTTAATAATGAATGAATGAATAGAAACCGGGTTAATAGCCTACTTTTCTGGACCAACCCGCCAAACGAGGACAGATATATACCATACAATGTGATATGAGGGACATTTTGCCCGGACAGGTATCTAATTCCAACTGTCACTGGATCTTTTTCGTGCAAACCAACGTGTACACATTGTATCTCGGTTTTCGTCCCATCTGAACGACGGGGTGCTGTTCCTTTCCAGGCCTTCCTATCTGGACCCCTGACAAGCGGACACCAAGCTCGAAAATCCTAGGGAACACTTTCGAACACCCCGGGATTAAATCCCGGACCCCCTGGTTAGTGAGCCTTCGCCTTTTTGACTGATGAATCACCGCGCGTATTTATTTTGCCAGGACTTACCGGGAAGGTTTTTGATTAAATTGAATTTATCCATTGTGTTAGCCATATACAAATATCCGCCATCTTGTTCACATCGATTCATTGCCCCTGTCCATGGCATTAAGTCTGTTGAATCAAAGTACGTCTTATAACAAATGTTATGCGTTGCATTATATGTATAATCTGATGGACACGTTTCTGTAAAATAAAAATGAATATAAAAATTGAAAGAAAGAAATAAAATGATATTTTTGAGATACAAGAGAGAGAGAGAGAGAGAGAGAGAGAGAGAGAGAGAGAGGGGGGGGGGCGTTCACTCGCCACAAACTTGGTGAGTTGGAGACTTTAGCTGTGGGAGGAAATCGGAGGACCCGGAAAAAACCCACGAGGTTGGACAGGCGACCCTACGTACAGCGGGGAATAGAAACCACGCCACTTGGGTGAAGGACAGACCTATCATCTAATGTCCACGGCTAAGATGATTCGGTCACCCCACTCTCCTGGGATGCATTATAACTTTCACATAAAAATATTTAAAAAATGAACAAATGTAATTTATTTTGAATAATGCCATATTATGGAATATGACGTCATCGACGCACAGTTATCCATAACAAGCATTCCATGTTTTATGTCGATTCTAACCCAATTGGCGGAGAAGATTACCACATGTATTGCATCCTGACATCTTAGCGGATCGTTCAAATGGCAAATGTAACCTTCATAAGCTTGTGAATAAGTTAAATTTAGGCTGACAAAATTTAGCGGATAAATTTACAAAGGACACGATCTAATAGAAAACTATTTAACAAAAGAAGAGTTAAATTGAGGCACACCCCACCTCTAATTACCTTTAATTATTTCAATTTGTCTTTAGCCGGAAACCATTATCACTGATATCAGATCACAACCGCATAATGTTGTTCAGATACATTAATTTTCATAGCTATAGGCTATAAGAGTTACTTCTTGCAAAATACCTTTTTTATACTATAAAATTTATTTATGTTTTATTCTTGTGAAGACATTCTGTTTTGAATCTAATTTAAGGGACATATAATTATATGCCTTGATAGACTTCAAATCGCTCAAAATAACGCTGCAAGACTTATCACAAGAACCTCAAAATATGATCACATCTCATTGTATATGAAGCAGCTACACTGGCTACCGGTGAGAGCCAGAATAAAATTTAAAATTCTCGTCAACACCTATAAATCAGTAATAACCAAAACAGCTCCTAATTATATGATGGAAATGTTTAATGTTTACACCACTGGCCGAACTAATCTTCGTTCAGGACGTGACAAAACCCTACTAGCTGTTCCACGCTTTCAGCGCCAGGTGGGCGAGTTTTCATTTTCCGTTAGGGGTGCCAAACTTTGGAATGAACTACCCAGAAACATAAGAGAGAGTACCCAACTATCTCAGTTTAAATCTAAACTGAAGACTCATCTGTTTAGTGACTCATATAAATAGAACCATGTGCCTACCATTGTGTAGATATGACTGTACAGCGCTTAGAAATAACTATTGTTATAATGTAGCGCTTTAAAAATGAAATTATAATAATAATAATTATAAAACCCATGGGCTTTGGTGGATATTCAAGTCTTAACGTATGCGCTCATTGGGTCGACAGAGGAAAACAAAATAGGTTATAATTCAAGCAGAAGGCGTATTATCTAGAAGACAAAATGTCGTCCAAAGAAATCGACAATTTGTTTAGATCTGAATCATAGAGATCTTGTCATTTTAAATTTGCCCATTTATCAAACTATTGGTGGTATTTTATCCTCTTTCACAATCAAGATGATAAATTGTTTCAATGGCATTTAGTAATTGAACTGGAATATATACAGGTCACAATTCTATGGAATACAATTACTGCTTATTGCTAAGCAGTAATTGTATTTCACAGAATTGTGACCTGTATAAACAAGAAAATGTGGATTTGTTCAGTTCATGTCTAGCTAGACTGATGTTGTGCCACGAAACTAGTTTTAACTAGTTTCATGACACAACATCCTACCAAACAATAACACGGTTGTTTAATGTTGTGTAACGTTTTGTTTGTTTTGTAACAATGCAACGACCCGAACGCCATTTTGTCAGCCCAAATTTAACTTATTCACCAGCTTATGAAGGTTACATTTGCCATTTGAACGATCGATACAGGAAATTGTTCTTGGTTCTGATTTTTGAATGTTAAATCTTACATGTTGCGTAAAGTACCAAGCTGTGTTTTGTAACTATTTAACGGCCCCAAACTTTGTTTTGTCATTTAAAATATAAGCTTATGCCCATTATAACTTGTACTTTTCGTGATGGCTTCTTGGCTTTAGACAAACTGTTAGTCTCTGAATTATAAAGACAATACTATTCCCCATCCAGCTTCAATTTGTTGTCAAGAAATGTTTATGATAGTCAACTGAAGACTATGATTGCAAATCTATTGTAAGCCAACTAAAACTTAATTTTATTATTTCGTTTTGGGGGAGGGGGAGCTGAAATTCATTGTTTACCTACTCTGAAGACAATTCTATTAAATACGATTACTTGACGACTTTTCGACTAGTGTTCTCTATTTATGTAAAAAAAACCTTGGATAATGCTGAACATTGGTCTATATTATGAGTTGATTTTATAAGGTAGGCTAATACCAAACATTTCAAAATATAATTTTATTAAGTGATGATATTAATCCATCATTTTCTAATCAACATGTACTTGTATACAAAATACCATTGAATAGGTTCACCATTAATATATATTTTATAATTATGGCTTAGGCCAACTCTGTAGTCTATCCGGCCACTTAGGAAGCCTTCTTACTATTGTCTCAGTTCTGTCTGTCGCTTAATAGACGTTTTGTCTTTAATTACCCCTTAGGATTTTTTTACATAATTTGCATAGAATATAATCAGACTCTTTATTATTAGTATTATTATTATCATCAAAAGTAGATAAATGACCTTCAAATATCTTTTCTAGAGCTTGTAGCCGTTTTATTTTTAGTTTCACACAATAATCCCTACATTAAAACCTCAATTCTCCAGACGACCAATAATCATTTTCCCTTTTTAATTAACAAAAGGAGGGCTTAAAGGCGTTCTGATCTTTAGATAGTAATCTATAAATGGTACGTCGTTAAGTTGCCGGCTAAAGGTCTTTGAGAAAAACAAGATGGTGGAAGTAATAATCATTCTGCAAACCAGAGTTGTACTCTCTAAGAACTAACACTAACCTCTGTTAACAAGAAGGAAGGGAGAGAAATGGGGTTTAACATCCACTCGACACAAACCAGGTCATTTCGGGACTAACATATGGTTCAATTTTATTTCAATAATTATCTTTCGCGTAGGGGCCTTTAGCAGTGGGAGGAAACCGGACGACCCGGAGAAAACCCACAAGGTTGGACAGGTGACCCTACTCCTTGTCACGTACCACGCCAGTTGACAGCTCATTTAATCAATTATTCACCATGTTTCTTGGTATGATAAAACAAATCGATGAAATAGAAATAAAATATTACATTTCTCATTTCAGAACCATAAGCTGTAAATAAGATTTTTAATTCCTAAATAAACTTCCATTGATTTTAATTCACGAAAGGGCCATATGTTCAGTAAAAACAAATAACCGAATCTGAGTTGATATACGAGGTGAAGTCAATAAGTTCATAGAAGTGGATATAAAACAGAAGTCAATGGTTGTGATATTGATTTTATTTTTCAATATAATCTCCCTGGACCTCGATGGACTTTGTAGATGTCCAAGAGCTCACGACTGGATTCAACTCTCTGGTGTCGATCTTGTGCATTTAAGTTTCGTGGCACCCTTCTTGTAGACACCTTGGATATGTGCAAGTGCTCATGAATTATGGTACAAACACTTCCATGAGAAATGCCACACTCTGAAGATATCTCGTCCACCTTTATTCTACAATCGGACATGATTAAGCACTGGACCCGTGCAACCATAACATCTGTAATGGCTTCATCAGGCCTTCCTGAGCGTGGGTCATCGCCCAAGGAGCTGCGACCCGCTTTAACTCAGCTAACCATTTTGCAACAGTAGAATATTGAGGGGCTTCCTTCCCATACACATTGGTCATACGTCCCTTCTTTCGTGAGAAACTTGATAAACACACGATGCTCAGTTTTAGAACTTTCATTCTGGGAATACAAGAAGATGGCCGGCTATTGTGGTTATTTGTAGAAAAATAAATCCCCTTATTCACAATGGTATTTGAACAATGTAATCAAACAACAACAGCTAATCTGTAATTTTATATCTTATTCTGGATAATAAGTTTAGTATCTTATTATAGATAAGTTTTGTATCATAAAGGAATGGCTTATAGGTTAGAATGGCGATTAATAAAGCTTGGGCAATCTTAAAATGGGCAGAGCCTTACTTTTTCGAAAATAACGTCGAAGAAATGAACGTACTAAGCATTGTCACCGTTTTGACCTCTGGTCATATGCATATACATGTTTGCGCCTAAATGAGCAGACATATTGTCTTAGAGATTCTGAATTGATCCCCCAGAACTTACGCCAAATTTAGCGTTGTCTCCACCTTGCACCCCCCCCCCCCTGTCAAATTCCTGGACACGCCCCTGCTCACGCACCGTATATAACATAAGACTACCTACCCCGTAGAAGCCAGTATATCACCAGACCAGGTTGAACTGTTTGGTCCAATCCCAACCGAACACGATGAGGAAATAAATAACACTGCGATGCTTGTCTCGGAAGATAGGAAAATGATGCACACGAGGTCGTCCCTATACACTTTTGCCCACATTCCTTAACTGTTAAATCTGTGTACAACGTATGCAGAGTGCTTGTTATACTGGTATTGAGAGGTATTCTCTTAAATACATGTTCTGGGCAGTCAGCGCGTCCCGTAACCTCTACAACGTACAGATAATATAACATACATAGAAACAACATTCTTCTTCTCCTTCTGTTGGTTTCACTGACTTATCAAATATGGTCTCAATCCCACTTTCACCTGAGGTTATATCAGACAGTTTGGTTTTACTTCCGCTGAAAGTACAGATCTGATAATGGAAATTAGCACCACGGTCTTGTAAATGTGTAATACCACTCAGATATCGTGTATATTATCTAATTTAAAAATAATCTGCTTACAATATACTGTTGCATGTATTACATTAAATGAATATACTTCCTTAAAAATATAAAAAAAAATCTTTAAACACCATCCGTATATACTGCGAAACTTCGGGCTAAATTGTAGGAGAACTACACTGCACGCAAAACAATACCGATAAGAAAAACGTGCGGACAGGACCAACTAACCAGACATTGCAATATATAAATACCAAAAATATCACATATCTTTTGAAAGTGAACTCTAACACAATTAACCAAAGGCCCTTCTTGTTACTCCCTCTTATCGTATAACTTTTATCGTTTTCAGAGGCAACAACAAAATTCCTCACACCCTTTTATAGTACCATCTAACTTAAGTAATCACCATCACTGCTAGTCGGTGCAAAAGGCAAGAACAACTCTTCGCACTAGGCAACTACAAATCTCTGTAATTACTGTAGCATTTATCGATTGACCGTATAGTAACAGATTAAAGATTTCCAGAAGTAAATGACAAAATTAATGCTAGGTGCGTGTTCACGATGTATTTGTTTTAATTTTGAGTCCCAGACGAAAAAACATCAATTTAAAAATGTGATGTGTTTCATTCTGTTGTGTTTCTTTAAACATACATTATGCAAGAAGAGTTAAATCTGCGTATTGCAGGTTTTACTTTACGCCTGAAATGTTATCTAAATTATTAATAAGACATTAATTAACTTATCCAGACTATAATCAACTCTCGATGGCATCGCTGGCCTGCGATGTTTATTGGATTAGGTTCTGATTTTCTGTTCGACTTCCATTCATGATTTAATCAGGAAATGGATAATCGAGACTATGTTTGTTATCGTACCGACTTTAGTAATGATGATCGAGGCTAGTCCGAAAATTCAATCGCAAAAATCTCTGTTCAAATTTTCAGCAAATCCCCTTTACATTATCTAGTTTTTAACTATAATTAATTAGTTTACCTAATCTCCCATAATGTATCTTTAAATTAATCGTAATTATTATCCCACTGGTTTAATTTGTGTATATTCATAATTTTTCATTTTGTATTTAGCACACTTATTCTAACGACGTTCTATATTGTTCTATGTTATAATAGTGATGGCGAGATTTGTGCAAAACAATACATATGTATAATAATATTATGACCTTGACTAATTATTTTTCTACAGACCCATAGACAAGATAAACTGCGCGTGAAACAACGGAAATCTGTGATAATATGATATATGAATTGAACTATAGGTTAATAAGGACATTTGTCATATATGCCATCTTCATGATCAGGAATATCATGTGTCTGTTGACCAAATTAGGTAATAATCCCTGTTGGTATGCAAGGTATGAGGCATGTCCATTCCATATTTGGCTAATTCGTGGCGTAATTGAGCATGGGTGACCAATCACATAACTGATTTCTGAAGTCAAGGTATATAAAACGCTAGATCTATGCGGAGACATTTCATGTAGTTTCTTAAGGAAGAGACACGCATTGAGAGAGATACGGTTTTGGGGGAGACCGTCGAGGTTCAAGAGACAATGTATTAATATTGCTAGAATTTTTGCTCTTTAAATTAAGGATAGCACTATCTGGCAAGTTAGTAGATTCACAAATTTGTACTTAAATCAAGTTATCTAATGAGTGACAGATGGTTACATAAAAAAGGGTCATAATGTGGTAAACATTCCATTCTAGGTTGATAACAGATATCTCATGGGAGGTTTCTCCAGTAAATTTCCATTTAACCATATAAGGGTGGGTTCCTACGTCATTAGGCTCAATTAAACAATCTCTCTAGTTATTTACATCAGATTTGACCAATTAGATAATTGAAGGTCCAAAACCCAAAGCTACAAAACTATCACACTTGTGAGAATTGGCTGGACAACAGCTTGATTCCAGAAGGGGAAAGATGTAACAGTTTCTATCAGCAGACTCGCCCATCGAGTCTGCCTGGTTTGTGTTTGAGAATGACTTTATTATTGTAATTTATACTATGCTTGTATCCATGTATCCAGCTATGATATATAAAATGTAAAAACGAACTGTTGCATTGTTATAACTACTGAGAAGACAAACGTCTTAAGAAAACAGTAAGAAGAAAATACACAACGTGAAGGGGAAGCAAAGACAGCTAGAGACAAATTCTAGACGATCACAAGGCTACTAAGATATGTAGTAAGAAAAGATGCATGGGTCGTACGTAGGATTTGGCGACCGGTTTGACAATGGTCCGCTCTCCACGTCTGACAGAAGACCCATGGTGCTAAAACACCCGGCATATTCTTAGACGGGAAGATGTAACAGTTTCTATCAGCAGACTCGCACTGGCGAGTTTTGATGGGAGTGGGATTGGGAGAATGATTTTAGTTTAATCTGTGCTTGTAACCTATAATGTATCTAGTGCTTGGCATAAAAATGTAAAACCGAAATGTTGTATTGTTATTTCTGTGTGTAACCATAAGCTGAATAAGCGGAGAATACATTCACAACGTTGGATGTCAGGGTGATAGATAAAGAAACGTTCAAACCATCAATAAAGAATTACAAATATAACTAGAGACAATACTAGACGATCACAGGGCTAATAAAATATGTAGCAGAGGAGAGAGTATGTATCACAGGTTGGGTGTGAGATTTTTTGGCATGTTGGCTTTCCACATCTAGCCAGCGACGCATTGCAGTGAATATCATTACATATTTGATTTGGTTGCCATAACTGAATGGTGATACATCAATGTTTTGACCCTTTCGACCAATTTCCATGTTTTGGGGGTTGCGATTATGTGCCTAATTTCTACAATCTAAATAATTCTAAATTATCTATTTCAATGTACTTATATGGTGATTTTTTGTAAACATATATCATGATGTATGAGAATACTCCTATTTCAGTTTTGCCACACACCGTCTCCTGAACTGATTGACAAATACTAAGCAACATACTAAGTTCCATTAAAATCGAAAGCTCTTTTGTAGTAAAATTGAACTAAATAAAGGACGATAGTTGACAAATCTCGACCCAGTTCGAATACTACGAATATAAACCCTCGTTCCATTTGAATCGGAAGGAAACCATCGACCACACCTCGTTTACATATACATGTAGGAATAAGAGTCGCCTTGCGTTTTGGGTACAATAATTACATAGCAATTCATGGGTAATTCACGACTGGCCAAGACCAAATCTACATGTGTCGGGACTGGCGCCTCGCGAAGCTATCGAGGAAAGTGTTTCTAGTTGTTCGGACTAAAAGACGAACCCCAGCTATGTATATAGTTATGTCTTTGGCGTCTGCTTATTCCAGATAACACCGGTAATATTCTCCTGTGGGATATTTTCCGCTTCGTTCATTGGTTCGCTTAATTACAATTGGCGCTCTTAAATATTGGATATCAGAAGCCCAACTTGTCACATTTAAGATAATAACATCAGTGAATGCTACTGAATTAGAGACTTGCCTCCCTTAACGACCAGGTGGGGTGGATGGACGAATGGGTAGCACGTGCGCGCTGAATCATAAGGTCTGTCATTGATTCAACTGGCGTGGTTTCGATTCCCCGGTTATGCGTGACAAGGAATAGGGTCGCCTGTCCAACCTCGTGGGTTTTCTCCGGGTCCTCCGGTTTCCTCGCACTGCTAAAAACCCCTACGCCCAAACAGGTTATTGAAATAAAAATGAACCATATGTTAGTCCCGAAATGACCTAGTTTGTGTCGAGTGGACGTTAATACCCCCCCCCCCCGGTCAATTGCTTGTTCGCTGCGTTATAAAAGATTGCAGAAAAGTCTCATCTATTTTTTGGGGGATTAAGGCTGGGAGACACCTGCTTCACAATGGACTTGTTTACATGGTGATATGAATTATATATAAGGTAAAGTATGAAAGGCGATACCATCATATTACAAGTTTAAGTTTCATTGCGGCCCTTGACAAAACTAGAACATCAGATTGGCAATCCGCGAATTGTTCATGTCAGGTTTGTGAACAAAGCAACGGGTATAATCGATTAATATTAAACAATAAATTAAGTGATACATTAAGTATTTTTTCCGTGGGGACTACTGATCAATAAGTAATACATTTGTATTTAAGTATTATAAAGTATCCACATAACTCTAATATTCACTAGATTTGTCTAATATTCATTCTCCTTATTACATCTTATTCCACATATTTGTCGAATATTCTCCTTATTACATATTATTCCACATATTATTCCACATTATTTGTGTAATATTCTCCTTATTCCACATATTTACCGAAATCAATATGCCCCTTACTATATACGTACTCTTCCACATTTATCGAATATTCATCTTACTATATACGTACTAATCCACAGATTTATCTAATATTCTCCTTATTAAGTACTGTTCAATAGATTTATTTAATATTCTCCTTACTACGTACTATTCACATATTAATCTAATATCCTCCTTACATACGTGCTATTCCACAGATTTATCTAATATGCTCCTTATTAAGTACTGCTCCATAGATTTATCTAATATTCTCCTTACTACGTACTCTTCCACAGATTTATCTAATATGCTCCTTATTAAGTACTGTTCCATAGATTTATTTAATATTCTCCTTACTACGTACTGTTCCATTCGATCCCTGCATTGACCGAGAAAGTTCATCCAGATTTTCCGGCGTGGTTTCCCCTTGTCAGTGATGCAGGACGGGGGTCTGACAAGGACAGCTGTCTAGTCGATCAGATGGCACGAAAAACCGAGGTCCCGTGTACACATTGGCGTGCACGTAAAAGATCCCTTGACAGTTTGAATTAGATATAAGAGTAGGCCGTAGCGCCGCTGCCCCGGCAAAATTTCCCTCATAGCACACTGTATGGCGTATGCCCGTCTTCATTAGCCCAGTTTAGGAGCAGAACAGTAAGACGTTAAACCCCATTTCATTTCATTTCATTTTCACGTACTGTTCCACAGATTTATCTAATTCGGATGGTGATATAACTCGAAAATTGCATGTTTATAGCTTATTCAATAAGTATTGTTGTGTCACCAAAGCTAGTTTTGGGGTAATTTCGTATCCAGTTAGATTAGTCGGTCATATTTTAGTATCCTTATGGTAATAATTTGGAGATAATACTCTTCGGATATATGTGCTGAAATACGAGTGTGAGATTATGCACGGTCTACGGTATTGCAATTAAACTTGGCAATTAACTATAGGGAACTTCCGGTGATTAATATCCGCCGATGCCTTTAAGGCAATAAAGCCTATCAATACTTAAACTGTCTATACTAAACGATCGACAGTTGCGTTATTGATATCACGTGTTTATTATTTATCTATATTGTTTTCCATTGTCCTCTAGACTGCTAAATTGAAATACTCATACTCTAATCAAAGA